CGACTGCCCTCCCCTGACTGAAGCTACGATGAGCAGAAAAGGACTTCCTCCCGGAAGTACTGAAAGAGAAACGGGAAGAATTTGTAGGGGGATCAGATAGGGGAAGTATGGCGGAGGGGCTGGAGGGTTTGTCTCTGCCCAGCTTCAGGCAGTCTTGCCTCACAGTCCCCATGTCACTGGTCCTGTAGGTGCTGTCCTCACTGAATGTCCCTGGAGCCAGATAAGTGCAGTCATGCATTGCTGAACCACAGGGACTAGTCTAAGGACTGCCTCGTTAGGCACTTTCGTCCGTGTGTGAACATCTTATGCAGACCTGGGTGGCCCAACCTACAATACACCTGGACCACAGGGCACAGTCTTATGAGACCACCGTCACATGGTGTTATGCGGTGTGTGACTGTCGTTGGTGATGAAGACACACAGACGTCTACCAGAGACTCTGCCTGTTGGTCTCCACCCAGCCCCCACGGGTGGGACTCTGACAGTGAATGGGCGATGAGCACACTGGTGTGGGGGCTAGTGGTGAAGCTGTGCCGCCCTTGGTTAGAAAGGGCTCCTTTGAGCTCATGCCAGCAGCACATGGTGGCGGGGCACCAGGTCGTTGGCAGATGGGGAGGCGCGACCCAGCTGCGCCGCAGCTCTTATGACTCTCCCTCTCTTCTCAGGACACTGGCCTTCTCCGGTGCCCATCTCCAAGTCCCACCCATATCTTCAGGCGGGACCAAGCCCCTCACTTCAGATGAAGTTGCCAGTCCAGCTCTGGAAGGGGCGAACTGACCTCATTGCTTCCTAACTGGTCTTGAAAAGAAAACGATCCCCACCTTTTCCCCTCTACTCTCCCTTTGGCCCCCTACAAACAGACCAGGGGTAGGTTACTAAGGCTTGGGATCTTGGGGTCTAAATGTTGGCACTGCCATAATTTGTTCTGTGTCCCTGGGGAAATGATTTTCCCTTTCTGGACCTTGGTTTACCCATCTGTAAAATGGCAGGGTCAAATGGTCTCTTTCAGTGCTCACATCCCATGGCTGAAGGAGATCCAGGGCAACATGATGATCCGAAGGGCTGAGCCACTCCAGGTATCTTTGCCATTTAAAAGAGGGGCTGGTTGGGCCAGCAGTTGCTGTGTTGGCTACATCGCTGGACTCCCATGTAGCCGACCACGGTTTGCGTCCCGGACCCGGTGGCTTAAACTCACGCCAGGCACGTGTGCATACATGCCCAAGATTCCGAGAGGAGAATGGAGGAGAGGGGATTGCAGTGTGGCCATGCCCCCTGGGGAGGATTTCTCACTTTCTGTCTCTCTGTCTCTCTGACTTTCTGGTGAGCAAAAGCACCCTATAGCAAAAACCTCTCAAAAATAAAAAATAAATGAAAGAGGAGCTGATAAACCCACGTGACAGCCAGCCTCTGGCAGCCTGTGGGGTGGCAGCTCCAAATGCCCTCACAGGCACCAGGTGCTGCCACCTCTTCCAACTCAGGACACACAGTGGAGGAGACCTTCTGGACCCTAAGGGAGAAAGATCCCATCCTCACCCCAGATGCTACGGGCTATTCGCAGTGGATTTCTGCCATTCCCAGACCTTCTTGGCTCACAGGAGGAAAATGTGGTTGAGAGCAAAAGTTCAGATAAACAGAAGAATCCTGTGACTAAAAAGTGAGTCTTGGGCTGATCCTGTCACCTGGTGGTTAAGGGAGTTAGATATCATGTGGTGGGCCATGGTTCGAATCCCAGCCCCAGCAGCTTGAAAAACACTGCGTGTGTGTGTGTGTGTGTGTGTGTGTGTGTGTGTGCGTGTGTGAATGCCCCAAATCCAGACAGGATGGAGAAATAGAAGAAAAGGGGTTTGGTGTGACCATGGGAGGTGCCTTCTCCCTCTCCCACTCTCTCTCTCTGTCTCTCTCTGACAAGTGCATGTGCCTTCTGGTAATTAAACCACGCGTCCTGGGAGTGTGAACTTGCACATGCGAGGATAAAGGAAGCACTGGACTGGGAGTCGGTGGGCCCGGTTAGGCTCCTGACAAGCTGTGTGGCCGTGGGCACTCCACCTGAGCAGTTTTGCTTTTCTCCTCTTTAAAATGGGATGAGATCCAGCCCTGCTGCTCTGGCTTGGCTGCTGTGAGAACCCCAAGGATAGGTGGCTTCACCTGAGGTTTCGTGCTCAGTGCTCCGGGACAAACAGCACAACACCGATTCCTCCTCCCAGTGCCTGACAGGATATGCTTTGAAACAGTGAGATGCTAAATCACTCCAAGCTGTTAGGAGGATTAGCAGAAATGTTAATAGCAACAGATGCAACTTGTTCCCTCGGGGAGGATTTAGGCTCAGTGGAGTATTCCTGGAGTATTCCTCAGCCTGTTGTCGTCAGCCCTAGAGGGTCCACAACCCCTGTCCTACCTCCCATTCATCTCAGAAAGAGCAACAGGGGCTTACTGCCCTGAGGTTAGGAGCTGGCTGGGACTGGGATGGGGGTGGGGGGTCAATACGACAATAATATCCTGTAAAATAAACTAGTTCAAAGCTTGGAGAAATTAGGAGCCTCTCATTGAGCCTGAAATCCAGATTTTCATGGGGGCCGGGGTGGAGAGAGGTGTAAGTACCGGGTTCTAGTCTGGCTTGCAGGGTCCTGATCGAACATTCTAGGGAACCATGAAGATATAAAGAGAGGCCCGTCTAAGTGTTGTTCCAGAAACATCAAGGTTTCTGGTCCTAGCTCTGGGCAGCAAGGTGGCCACATATTTGGGAAGGCAAGAGGCTTTGCCAGCCTGGCTGTCCGGGGCCCTCGCAGTGAAAGAAATGCTGAGAGCAGAGCTGGGGCGCCTCCAGGGAAGGAGCTGAGGGGACTTCTGCACCTTTCAGACACTCTGCTCTTCTGAGGGCCCCAGGCCCCTGGGCACTCACCTTTGAAAGGGGACTGGGCTCGAGTCACGAGGAAGAGCCTCTTGCTCTTTCTGTGCCGCTCCTGGCGGACATGGTAGCCCAGAGTGTTGCAGCGGCCCTTCCCGCAGCTCAGGCACAGGCCCTGGCTGAAGCTGTCCATGTCGCTGCACAGGTAGGCCGTGCTCTGCATGCCCTCGTGCAGCAGGGAGTCCACGAAGAGGTGCACCGAGCGCTCGTGGGCGCATTTGATGGTCTGGGTGATGGCTGGAACACAGGGCAAGAAGGGCGTTGTCACCCAAAGGAGCCTCGACTCAGAGGGCCATCTCGTTTCTCCGTCCACGCCACATCAGCAGTGGGAAGGCTGTGGTGGGAGTGCGGAGGCCAGCCCATGGCAACGGGAGGAAATAACTAACTGAAGACTAAAGAGAGTGGACCCCTCTTGGCTGTTTACATTCGGGGCACAATCCCAGGCACCACCAGGCTCCTGTGGGCACCTCTCTATTATGACATACCATGTAGGTCTTTTAATAGGCATCCAAGTCACTGAGAAGATCACGTTATTTAAGAAACCTCGGTGGTGAAATCCATTCTGTTGCAGAAATACTTCTATCTTGGGCCAGCTGCTGGCATGGTGGTTAATATGGCTGGATCTCACAGGAATCAGAAACATACCTCATTGGTCATTTAAGAAAATCCCATGTGGTGTATTCACTAATAGGTTATGTAATATAATAATACAATTTCTTTTCATATTAAAAAAAATTTGTATATTTCTTCTGAGAAGGGGAGAGCCAGAGTGAGACATAGAAAGAGGTGCCCCCACAGGGTCTCGATGCTGTGATCCACCTCCAGCCTGGTGAGCCAAGATCACAGACGGGCGGTACTCCCAGGTTGGTTCGGGAACCCAAGCCCAGGACCTTCCCGTTTGAGTCCAGGTGCCCCACGTCTTTTTTAAACTCTCCACACCTTCACTTAATAATCCTCAATAGGTTATTTTCCAGGACCGGCCATGAACCGTTTGAGGTGTGCAGCATACCTACGTAAAGGTAGAACCCAGGTAACTTTGTCAGTAGCCATTTCCCCAAGTCTGAAGACAACGTGCCAAGACCAGTCATCTCAGGTTTCGGTCAGCAGTGGCTGCATTTGTTGAGCAGCTGCCAGGAGGCAGGCCTATCCTGAGTGCCTTCGCCCTCTCCCTGAATCTTTGGGGCAGCTCCTGGGCACAGCTGCTGTGAACTAACTCAAGCTCACCCAGCCAGGCAGTGATGAGGGTGGGAAAGCCTTCAGGCCAGCTGTGGTTGGGAGAACTACCCCAGCATGGGAGCATTTTCACTCAGAGGGGTGAAGAAAACAAAACCACCCCAAGGTCAGGCAAGTGGCATACACGCACTGGGCTCCAGCACTTTGAAGCTTAGCACAGAAGAGCCAGTGGCAGTGCCTGGGCAGAGATGCATTTACCAGGCAGTTACTAAACCCCATCTGGGTGCGCCGTGCGGAGTGTTGTAGATCTGGCAGGAGAGCCGATGGTCAGCCGGGAGTGCTGGTGACTGAAGGGGTGGTGACCCAGGGGAGATGACAGTGTTAAGGGTAAGTTCCCGGAAGGGGCTCTTGCTCTCGGGCATGGGCAAGTGGAAACCTGGGAATTCGGCCAAAATGAGATGATGTGGAGCCTGAAGGTCACTCTGATATGAGAGGGGAGGTGTTGATATAGTTGCAAGAGTGTGTCCTCAGCTCAGTCTGGGATGACTGGGGTGGGAGGTGGCCTGCGGGGGTGGAGGTCTCCAGGGGGCTCAGAGTGATTGGCGTGTTTTAATCAGGAAGATATTTCACAATAATGAGAAATTTGGAATGCCCGTGGAGTGTGTGGCTGCTGCTGCTGTTTTCGTTCATTAACCCCGTGCTTGTAATCAAGGTGCATGTTAATGTTCCAGTGTTAGGGTTTAAGAGAGAAGTGGGATCGCAGCCCAGATAATGCCGCATTCCGTTTCTGCCCAAGGTGAAGGATCTAACAAGGACATATTTGAAGCTGAACTTCACATTGGAAGAGTCTCAGTAATGTCCTGTAGGATCAGCTGATTAAACCTTACCAGGGTGGGCTGAAGCTGTTCCCACCCTGGCCAGGCCAAAGACCTAGAAGCCACCATCCTTCTGTGGATCAGAACAGACTAAGCCCCTTGAATGAAGACGTTTCCAGAGAAGAAGGAACACCCACAGACGGCAGGATTCAACCTCAGTAGGGCTAGCACACCCAGAGAGCATTGGTTTGGGCCCACCAGGCAGGAGTAAGAAGTTGGGACTCCTGGTGGTGTCCCTGGGCGCCTCCGGGCCTGGCTTCCAGGGAGTCTGCTTGTGAGGGGGTGTGGCCTGCGGGCCACGCCCACCACCCCTCTGAGTGGACCCGGTCGCCACACACCCTAGGCCCTGGCCTTGTCCAACTCTTCCTCGAGTGCCCCAGAGTTGTAGATCCCACGAGATTGCAGAGGCCCCGTGGGGAGTGGGCTAGCCCTCCCTGCTCACGTCCGTGCACTCACCATTTAAGCCGTGCCGGGCGATGTGTTTGTAGAGCTCTAGGAAGTGGCAGCCGGGCTGGAAGGAGCCCCCATTAGGGTAGAAGTCATAGTGCGCTATGGGCTGTTTGATGCCCACGCTCAGGCCCATGTGCTCCCGGGTGAAGGTGTGAATGGCGTCCACAAAATCAGCGTCATCTGGAGAAAGACGGTCACTGGGGGACGTTCCTTCAAACAAAGGGCCCGCGGCATCCAACCCTAATTGGAAAGTAGAGGTAAGGGTTAGATGGGAGGAGGGAGGGGAGGAGAAAGGCGCTTTTCAGGGTTACTGCGCGTTTGTGGGCCAGCAGGAAGAAGACAGACCAAGGTACCATCTTTCTCTAGAAAACCTTGCTGGTAACTGTAACCCATGGTTAATTCATGGCACTGAATGTTAGATACAGGCCGGGCATTATCTGGGAGAAAAAGAGGTTTGCAGAAACTATCTGGTGGCAAAATAAAGTTATGAGAGAATGCTTGGTTTATTTCAGCAAATCAGTTTTAAGTGCCTCTCAAGCTGTGTTCAAGAGCATCTGTTTGCATATTAGAAAAAAGACCCCATGTGCTCATTCCACTAACTGCCCATCAAAGAAATGACGTATTTGTCTGCATATTGTCAATGAGTCCTCTAAACAAGTTGGTTTTTCTTCTACACTAATGTCCCTTCATAGGGATGTGCGGAGCAGCCTTGGGACATCGCTGTTTCAGGGTGAAAATGTTGTGAGCACATGAGCTGCTCGGGCTCTGGTCCTCAAGTGAGAGCCGTGTTTGCAGAGACGAGTGGCAGCTGCTGGCTGATGTAGTTGGGAAGCATTTATGCACTCGAGACATCCTCCTGTCATTCTTTCTTTGCCTTCTCTGGGGGACCCTTTGAGGCCCCTCATGGGCCAGGCCTGGCTTCCAAACCTCCTGAGAGTGGCCTATGGAGCCCCTACCCGCAGTTATGCATGGAAGAAGTCTTGACATGGTTCATTGTTCTTTCTTCATTGGGCTGACAAGATGACACCAGTGTAACCCCCCTCACCCACCCCTCATGTCTCTGATGTGGGACGGTGTCCACAAAATTGGCATCATGTAGGGAACG